GCTATGTGTGGAGTCCCTCAAGCATAACTCCGAAGCACAACCGCCACTACGCGTGCGATTGCCCACCAATGTAATCCTATGCCTGCGCGCAAAGCACTCAACATCGAGTGGTGGAACGTGCGCACACTACGCAACCGGAACTCGAGTGAGCGCCCTGAGCGACGCACTGCACTGGTCACGATGGAACTGATCGTTGCAACATCGATGTTGCGGTGCTCAGCCGGATGCGGCTCACTGAACAACGTAAGCTGCATGAGGCTGGTGCCGGTTACACTTTCTGCGTGGGAAACGCCACCACAGCAACTATTGAACATGGGGCCGGATTTGCACCCTCTGACTGCCTAAATGGCCAGCTGATGGCAAAGCCAAATGTCATCACCCCAAAACTGATGACTGCGTCTGCAACTTGGAATAGGTACATTTGCTACTTTTATTAGCACTTTCGTCTTAACATGTGTTATCCTTATGTCACGATGGCTCGTTTTTACATTTACGTGTCCTCCGTGATACGGTTTGTGCTGAAGAGCAACCAGCTGTTCCTGCTGGGTGATTTCATTGCGCGCGTTGGGCGTGATGCGACATTGTGGATAGACGTAATCAGTCCATATGGTATTGGCACAGTCTGTGGGAATGGAAACCTTCTGCTCTCACTGTGTGCCACTCACGGCCTGACGCTAACGAACACTTGGTTTGCACTGGGTCTGGGTGATATAACTACTTGGACGTACCCAGGGTGTAGACACTCATTTGCTCTACTATGTCATCGTACGCCAGCGCGACGCGTGAACTGCGCATGACTCGTGTACGGGTTGGAGGTGAATGTTGCACTAATCAAAAGTTCGTGCGGACCAAATTGTACATATATTTTTGTAAATCTATGCATTATTTCCCTGCCTGAATCGACAGATTTTTAATGTACTTCCCTAGGTATTACAGAGAAGAGGAAGGAAAAATCCATGGCTACTTGCCTGGGCGATGTCGACTCATTCAATGAGACCAGGAGACGGGTGCTGTGAAGGAAACAATCGCGCGTGCAAACTGTAAGCGACCCGTAGATTTGGTGACAACAGTGCGCCCATTGGTGCATTGGTACGGGCGTAAAATGCAGCCTTCGCTGCACATGTAGCGGTCTCTACCAACTAGGAACGAGAATCAGTTTCGCAAACTTCGACGGCGACTGACTCGAGAGCTCCGTGCCATCAAGAATGCATGATGGACGGGGAAGGCGATGTAGTAGAAATGCCTCGCCGTACGTCGCCAACATAAGGAATTCTCTGATTCCATGAAGTAGGTGTATGTGTGTGCAGCCGCTGAGGACGCTAGTTGATGGTACTTCAGACGCTGCCTGCACACAGACTGCAGAAATATTGCAAATTCGGCGAGCGCACTTCGATTGTCTCCACTTGCGTTTTTGGCCGAAACACAACAGATGCCATCGCGATGCGACTTGAATTTGCGTGGTGAGACAGCTGGGGTGTTTTGGTGATTGACTTGGTGCACAACACCAAGTGGTAAATTGGTATTTTCCCTAGCGACCCTCATGCCAGGTAGGTCAGTGATTAGAAGTCGGACCAACTCATTTTCAGCGTCGTCTAACATTGATGGATTTCTCTAACCCCTTCTGCCCATGCCCAGTTATGGGAAACAACAATTTACGGGTTGTAAACTCACCTCGATCGGCTCAGCGCACGAGTGATGCGAGTTGTTGCTTAAGGTGAGAAAACGATTCTTGGTCACTGCAAAGAAGACAGCGGGAATACGAACTTTGCAAAATGGCACTATTTCGTGTTATCTCATCACTTGCAACCTATTCGCTGTAGCTTCTTATTTCTCTGGATGTATTGCTGACCAGACGAGAACATGGTTCGATGAATCGCTCTGTTTACAACAAAACCTCATGGACTGGACTGTATAGGCATTTTAACAACTTTACGCCGGTCCAATAAAAATGTTGCCTTGTCAAGAAGCCGTTTAACCGAGCCCATAAGGTATTCATTACCGACTGTGGCGTCGAAATGTCCTTCATCTCACAGTCATTATGGGCCCATGGATATCCGAAAGAATTCTTCAGATTCTACAGTTACCCGATGGAAAACAAACTAAGAGTACTTACTGTGCCCAAAATGGTTGTCTACCTACAGTTACCCTTCATGGGTAATGTCGTGACGACGCTTTTTACTACGGGTGAACAAAGTTATTCGCCCTGCATTAACGCTGCCAAACTCTGTTCCATTTTGGCGACCAGGGGGTTGCTGATGCATCCAGTCGAACCTACTCAAGCGGTCTCCATCACAACTCGTTGCATTTATCAATTCGTCTGTATCTGCGGAAGCTCTTACATTGGCAGTACAAATGGTTATCTGGGTAAGCGGATGGGATAGCATATTCCGAAGCAGATTGCTAAGAAGACGACTCAACAAGCAACCGGACAAACAGCAGCATGCAAACTGCTGGCGTCATCCATCGCTAGACACCAAATCGGTACAGGTCATCAAGTTGACTGACTCAACGTTCACGGTTATTTACCGAAACAAAAATGCCTGAATTTGTTGAGGCCGTGACGCTTAATCGGCACCGTCTTTCCCTTTGCGTACAGAAGCAACAGCCAGTTGCCCTAAATCTTCCACAGCTCAACCATCTGTTGTTTTGTGACTTTGTGCTCTCTTTTCTGACCAAACTCAAAACGGTGGTTTCATTTCTCACGTGATCTGTATTTGTTGTTAGTTTGCAATTACTCAGTTAACACGCAGGGATACCACCTTGCAATCCTTTTCTTCTCCTTGTCTTGCTCAAACTCCCAATTTGTCCCAAATATAATTATGGCGTCAACATAACATGGACACACGGCGTCTCGACACGTGGTGTTTCATAAGTCACTTGCGTCAAGAGAGCTGACCAGCGGAGATTTGCTGCATACAGAAACATATTCGGGTTCACCGATGATCGGGTGTCACGCGTATTCGCTCATCTCAATGTTCCAATGATGTGTGATCGCTTGTAGTACGATGGTACGGTGTCACTTGTTGCAACCATGAGCTGGCTTATGCTTGTGTTCTGACAGCATAAGGTCACTGAAAATACTTGTAGTATTCTTACTGGATCGGACTAAAATGGCGTGTGTGAGGAATATCCGTAAGTGGGAGAAGCCGAAGAACTGTAGACCAGATCAGTTATTGAGGAAATCAGATGCAACGAGCGAACCGAAAGTAGAAATCAAGTAGGCACTGAATTCACACGCATAGTGGTTGTAAAGCACAGTCGCCTCAGGCAGTGGCACATATTGGGACGATCATGCACTCGGCAGCACTCGGACAGGCCTTAATCATCTGCTGCAGGAGTAATAGAGCATGGCTAGCATGGTGAACTGGATTTCGGACATGGGCAGCGTAGATGCAGACAACGTCACAGACAGCTGGGAACTTCGCGATCACACGACACAGATGAATTATTTAAGCCTGGATACGCGCCGGCTAACAAGAGCTCAAATGATCACAATACTATAATGCCGTGTCAAACGTATACTTGTCACAAGGTCCCAAGTTCGATACGCTTAATCAAGCAATTACGGGTACAGTCGGTGGGCCGGATCCGGCCGTGGACCGTAGTTTTTTGACCCCTGCGCTAAAGCGCTCAGTCCATTGGTCGTAGTCGTTAGCTACTCCATCAGCCCATGCATGTATTTTTCGAGCTTTTTATTCGTTTGGTTGTATGTTCGTCTGAATTATCTACCATTTTCTTCTCATTATGGTATTATCATATTCGCACAAGTCAAGGTCATTGGATTTATCACGTTGACTATTTTAGCCTTACCAGCACTAAGTTGGGATTCTTCCATTTTCGCCATCGATTCGGTGAACCAACTAGGACGCCACGCCGTGCATTTAGTTTCATAATGAACCACTCTCGGTCACACAGCTGAATCTCAGGGAGCTTTGCAATTTTATGGCCTCTCGCGCAGACCGAAATGTTGCGGAAATTTATTGAACTCAATCCGTTTGTACATTCGACCTTCTATCTATGTTTTTTCTACATGCTTATCCATCTGCCCCATGCTGAGGCTGATGTTGCATTCATAGTGCTTTTTCACCGCGGTTGGGCTAAACCAACTTACACTTAAACTAGGTCTCTTTAAGCTACATAAATTTCATTTGTTTATTTGGTTTGTTTTGCCTATCTCAATAGTCTTCTATTAGCTGGTCACGTTGCTTACGCTAATTGTGGCTATCTTCGTTAACTTTATTGCATTTGTAGTATTTTTAAGTAACTTGTGGACATTTTGTACTTATCGCGGATTCGTTGCTAACCAACTTACTTCCTATGCTAATTCAGGGAGGCGTTATGTCTGCATAGCCGTGTGCGTTAACAGATATATTTTATTTGATAATGTCATTTCAAGTGATTGGCTGTTGCTTGATATCCCCGGTGTACATGTGCATGTTGACAAGGTGCCTACCTGTCTATTACCCACTACCTCGTCCATACTGCCTCTAGGAGATAGTTGGTCATGGCTGGAGGGGACAGGGTGCACGGGCCTTGTGGTCGTGTTAGGCTCGAAGAGTGGTTCCATGCACTCAGTGTGGAGCGGACCGCGGTCCAGCCACCGCCTTGTGTGCACTTGATTCCCCAAATACAGCTTGCTTGTGTTTGCTTGTGAAGGAGTGTGGGCCGGCTCCGTTGATGAAACGTGGCTCCCATCCGCATGCTTCCCGGTCTTATTCCCTCGGGTTTACACTGGATATGGGGTGTGGTTGGTGCAGTACAAGCCACCCATGGTCCCTCTGTAGGCGCAGGCGTCCTGTGGCTTGCCACAGTGACAGGCAAATCTGAAACCGGATGCAGCCAACCATCCATCTGCCTTGCTACGTGTATTCTTACTTACTCATCTTGTTGTCTACTTGAAGTTAATCAAAATCATATCTTGAACCATTAGTTTCCGTTCTTTGTTGGTGTTCTTTGGAATTCCTTCTACATGCGATCCGTCTTTTTATTCTCTTTCACAGGCCGTGATTGGCTTCATTGGGTCGACTGGTCTTTCTGTTAGATTCCTCTCTCGCATCTCCTTGTATGCGCTTTGTGCTGCTCAGCTTCACATGGCGTACATTTACCTGATGGAACCGAAATTGGGTTACACTCGATGGCTTCGTGTTCGTGTTACGACGCGTTGTATTGCCTCGGGAGCAATTTACCTGCGGATGCTGGGTATTCAACAGCCCGATGGTCAGATGCCTACCACGACAAAGCCTCGACCGTCTCTCGTATATACTATAGCCTTGGGCCTGATCTCCGTATCTAACATCATTTCTTCCCTCCTGTGTCTTCCAGTTAGCGTCGCAACCATCGACCGTGAGGCTCAGCTGGTCGAACAAACTTCCCTTTGGAATAGCTTAACTGTTCTTGCACCCATTGCCAATACAATCCTTTGCTTGAGTCTTGGTGTAGCCAGCTTGTGTCATTCCCTACCATTGCTAATGTACCACGCGTCCGTCTCCATTGACCATACGTTGAACGAGCGCGCTTTTCGTCTGGGTGACAAATTGACCTTTTTCTCCTACATCGGATTAGTTATTTGCCACGACTCAAATATCAACCACTGGGTCAGAAACGGAAGCGATTTTTGGTTGCATTGTCAGCTATTACTAAACTGTTTCATCGTTTGTGCCGGAATTTCGGTGACAACCGACCTGTCTCGTGCAGCTGCTCAAACTAACACTTTATTTCGGAAAGAAAGATAATCTGTGTTACCACGTTCCTTTTCTTTTAAGCAACTTTTCCAACGCGCCACCTATTTTCATTCTTTTGAGCATTTGAATAACTTTATCTTTTATAGAAAACGAATTTGCCTGACCACTGATTGTTCTAAAAGTCACTTTTTATCCAAGGAGTTACTTCAGTGTAGTATCGATTACGCGTGAGCATGTGCAGTTTTATTGGTGTGCAAATGTATGATTTCGCGGCACGTTCTGGCGCGGAATTATACCTGCAGCGAGTGGATAGGAAACTTAAGCGAAGGCTACTTTACTGTTTTAGCTGTTCAGTATGAGTGATGTCTCTTGATGTATCTTGACGCACAAACTTGGAGCGGTCTTTTCGTTGAACTTGTCCGTGCTCATTGAAGCCATAGGGTAAAATGGAGTGTTTCCGAGCGGCGACGTTGGAATCCGTAACTTTCTACGATTTCAGTTCACGTCAGCAAGACAAGGATAATCCGGACCCAAAAACACAGTTGATCCGGTTGCCATGCCTCCACGAATGTGTGGCGACAATGTGCTTGAACGCTAGTAGCATATGTAGAGTGATTTGGGAGAGCTGTGTGGGATTAATCAGATGGAGACTCGCTAATAGAAGCAGGAGTCCGAAAGCATTATCTTCATTATTCCGCAGTGTTTGGATGTGGAGGCTAAGAGGGATGGGGCGGAACAAAGAAACTCAAAGCACGGACGCCAATGAGGTCGGCTTTTAGCTATATCTGCAAGTGTATCCAGCCAAACGTGTTTATCGTCTTTCGGACCCCAACCAGGGAGCCGAGACGTTCTAACCGAGGCCAACTTTGAAATGAGGGCGTTCATTCCTCTCGACCAGGTCATCGCTTGGCCACCTCTCCTCTCCCATTCACACCCCCCGGCACGCAAACAACGCACGTCGCGGGAGTCCGTAGGCTGGCATGCGTAACACGTGGCCGAGCCATCGGAGCCTGGTGCGTGAAATGACGGTGCTGAGCGGTTCAGTTCCTTTTCCTGTGCCGTAAACAAGGGGTCAAATACGCTCGTTGCTTACTCGGTATTCTCACCAGATGTGAGCTAAATTGCGAATGCACCGGTGGTCGAATCTAATTAGCCTCTTTACGTCCGTTGATCTAAGGGGCCAGGTTTCACAACCGTACAGTAGGGTCGAAGATACCCTTCGGAGCGAGAGTGATGTCGCGCCGGCGCCATAAGTGGCGAAGGTTAACAAAAGCGCCCCGATCTTTTGCTATACGGTTCGTGATCTCATTTTCAATCCCACAAGCGCTGATACAACTCCTCAGGTAGTTGAATTTTGAACGACTTCTAGCAGATCCCCAACAAGGGTCAGCGTAGGAGGCGGTCCAGGCCAATCTTGGACGAACACTTTGCACTTCGAGGGTGCGAAGGAAAGCCCGAAGTGACGGACAGCTAGTGCTTATCTGTCCAGTGCCGCTTGTCACGTTTGTGAGCTATCACATATTAGGGCAATATCGTCAGCATACTCCATGTCAAGAAGTCGTTCTCCTGGGAGCATATCCACACCTAAATCGTGTCCTGTGAACACGCGTTGCATGAGTTCGTCAATAGCGAAGCTGAAGAGGAAGGGTGACAGAGGGCATCCTTGTCACATACCGCTGGAAATATTAAATGACGACGACAGCTTGCCGTAAGCCTGTTTGAGGTACGCGCATATAATACTCGGATAATATTCACATATTTCTCAGGTATAACTTTCCTGAGTAGACGGTCCCAAAGTGCACATCTATCCACCGAATCGAATGCACCTTTGATATCGAGGAACACAACAACGGTGGGCCGCCAATATATGTGACGATGCTCCAACAACTGACGTAAAGTGAAGATGTGGTCAATGCAGCCTCGACATCGACGAAACCCGGCTTGCTCTTCACGAATCTGGCTTTAACGAGTGCCAGTCAGTCTGTGAAGAATTATGGAGGCGATGGAGATCAGACTGATTCCTCTATGATTGCTGCATTCCGATTGTGAGCCTCCCTTCAAAATTTGACTATGACAGAGCGGCTCCAGTCGGTTGGGACAGTTTCATGCTCCCCCAGTTTCACTAGTAACTCGTATAAATCATTCACCAGAGCGGTTCCCCCGAATTTGAAGAGGGCTGGAGGAAGATCATCTGGTCTTGCGGCTTTATTTAACTTCAACAGCTCGATCTCACGTTTGACTTCTGTGCGAGAGGGCGGATCCCAAGGGACAGCCCACGGAGCAGGGCGATTACTGGCCCGTGATGAATCGAACAATTCCGGTCGATTAGGTTGCTTTTCAAAGTGCTCAGCCCAATGCTCCAAGCGTTTTGACAAATTGTGGATAGGCTGTGCACTCTCGTCACATATACTTTCACTAACACCAGGTCTCCTGCTGCCCGTTTTCCCGTATCAGCCGGAATAACTGACGATGGTTACCAAGGGCAGCTTCCATTTCCATCTCAAAAGTACGATGAGACCACCAGGATTTGCAATCTCTCTTCAGGCTAGCACGGAGTTTTGCCTTGAAATCTGCTAGTTTCAGTGTGTTCGCTTCCAGCCGGACTATGCCGGTGAGCATCGATAATTTCCAGAGATTGCGAAGAGACCCAATGTCCATGTTCGTGATTAGACTTATCACATGGGGCTTTTCCTGATGCTAGTAAAATCTGGTGAATATGAGACCAGTGAGCTTCAATTGCATCCAGCGAGCGCTTACTCAACGCGCATAACAGCGTACTTTGATAGGCATTCAGAACAGCTGGCTTCGCCAGTTGGCTGGCGTCACTGCGCTCACAGCGTCGCCGTGGGCGTCCGCCAAAACGCATCCGCATGTCAGCACATACAAATGCATGGTCGGTGTCCACACATGTGCTCCAAATCGAGCGACAGTTCTGGATGCAACCTCTCCGTCGATAACTTATCGCAATGTGATCGATTTGCGTCCATAGCAGGTTCGAGATTGGTAGGCGCCAAGTCACCCTCCGGCGAGTGCTGTGTCGGAAATTAGTTCTCGCAAGAAATAAGCGGGCATCTTCACACAAATGTAGCAACCGCTCACCGTTATCATTACGGGTGCCTACACCGTGCTGACCGCCCAGATGCAGTTCATCAGTGGATAATTTTCCAACTTAGGCGTTCAGATCCTCAGCCAGGACAACAGTGTCCGAGCTTCTTCTGTGGCGAAGGAGCTCGTTCAGTTGGCGATAGAACTCGTCTTTTACCGAATCATCGCTAGAGTTTGTGGGTGCATAGGCAGCGATGATAAATAGACACCTGTTAGTCCCACGCGACTTCGAAGCTTTAAACGAGCCAGCCAATCGGACCGCACACATCCGGCTACTGATTGGGATCCAATCAACCAGAGCAGCTTCAGCCCGGGGACTCAGGGCAATGCCAACCAGCTTGGCCGGTGCTCGAAGCTGCATCGTCACTGAATAGGCGCAATGAGAAAGTTCTGCTAGTGTCACCTGAATGGGATCACAGAGTGAGCACTCTAGCTCGAGTCATGCAGGCGGGTCTCCAATTGGCAGTACATATCGATCGAGAGGGTCTCTAATGTTCGGGCAAGTGCTGCCTTTTGACCGATCTGTAGCAGTGTGCGTACATTGAGGCGTGCTAATTGGAAGGAGGATTGAGGGCTCTAAATGGAAGCTGATGAACTGAGCTTGACCGCTTGGTTGGACATGGGCTTGTCGACAGGACAGGAACGACACTCCTCGTTCACCTGTAATTTGAAAATAAAACGTAAAACCCTATGAAAGCATGGTGGTGGAGGGCCAAGAGTTGGGGGGGGGGGAGTTAAAACAGGGGATATAAGTGAAGCTGGAACGGAACGATAAGGGTGAAAAAGCGCTGGCCAGAGCATCAGGAAATGGTGTGACGAGGGATTCATTGTATTGCGTAGGCAGGATATTATCAGGGTGCCCAGGCCTAGACAGGAGAACGATTAGGGTTCTCAACCAAAGCCTTTGGTTCAAAAACCTGACCGCAAGGCAGCGGGTTTGGCATTGGGCTACAAGGAGTCCGTTTTAAGGAATAAGGTGCCACCCTCATTCCAACTCCAACCAGGAGGCTGAGATTGTCTGGCCTCTAACGATTGACCAATCTGGTATGAGTGGCCCTGAAGGTGCAAAAGCACCACCCAGCATAGCTCAATGGATCTCTGAGGCATGCAAACCATCGCACCAAGGTAATGTCCATCCTCGTTGCGATGGAAAAGAGCGGTTAGCCGCTGACCATTCATCACTCGGAGTAAACTCACTCCATCTATCACATCTTACGCACTTCTGGTTTCCGAAAAGCTCTCATGCATTTACATAAGTACTCAAGACCTACACAGCGAATTGGCTGTATTGTGACTTCGACATGCGTCGGTCTCTTTGGACCTCATCGCTATCACGGAAACATGATTGCATTGTCAGATAACGAGTGCCCAAATTGCGCTAACAAGTAAGTCCCTTGTCCGGAATGATCGAGCCGACTAAGGTGGTGGGTAGTCCTCTATTTTCATAATAACTTCCAGTGCGAACCCATACGCGATTCCAAAACTGAAGTGTCCGACTCCATTAGGTGTAGGTTGCGACTGAGAGGTAAGGAAGTCGGTCTAGTAGCTGTTGTTTACGGCCCACCATCGTTTACACCTGAGATGGACTTTAACTCGGTGGCTGCGTTGAGACAGGTGATAAACAGTAACTACAGTCACATTCTATTCGCCGGCGAGTTCAAATTACGTGCTTTATGATCTCAGGCCACACAAGGTGAGCAGTTCAAAACAGTCTTGCAAGGCCTTTGTGGCCATGTCACTTCCCCCACTAGATTCATTGAGAAAACATGAGATCCATACTGTACCTGATCCTCACTAATGAAGAACTCATGATCGAGAGAGTGATCATCTTTACTCCTCTAGGCCACAGCGATAATACGACCTTGTGTCGCATATACACCTGCTACGCTGAATACCCCGAAAACAGAACTCAAACGACACGCACCAGCTACGATACCTTAGTTCAACTCGTTGAAGCGACCGACCGGAGTTTGCTAACTGAGGATACACCCGACATTGTCTGGGAACGTTACGTCAGTTAGTCTAACACTTTGGTTATGGGAGTATCGGAAACTAAGACTA